TATAAGAGTTTATTTTACAAAAAAAAAATAAAAATAAAGATTAAATATGTACATTTCAAAAAATATATTACCTATAAAGTCATTATCCCATAACAAAACTTACTTAAAATCTCACGGCCCTTCATACTTTTTTGAACTCATTTTTATTTATATTGTGGTTACAAGATTTTAGAACTTGTTTTTTTAGAACGTCTTGAATGAATTTCGAAAGTCAAACTTAGAAAAAATAAAGTTTTAAATAAAAAATCCCTTATTTTGTAATTCGAAATAAAGCTTCATTTTCGAAAAACCTTGTTAAAAAACCATGGTTACTATATGAATTTACATTTGAGATGATCATTAAATTTTGTTAGAAAAATGTCATTGAGGTCAATAGCACGTTTTGTATTAATGTATTTAGAGTTAATGAATAACATAATGTCATAATGATACCAAATATGATATAATATTTACTTATTTAGTGTTATATTTATATAGCAATTTTACATAGCATTTTGTGTAAAAATAAAGTAGCGTTGGGTTAGAGATGGGGCTCAAGAGTGTTTGCCAAGCATTTTGTGTAAAAATCCCTTTGGGTCGCTACTCGTTTCTCCCCCATATGTTGTTATCAGAATCAAAGCTACTGGAGATAGTTGCAGTTCTGAAATAAAGAAACCTGACAATATCAACACGATGACGTAACTTACCATATCGAAGCTTCAAAATTTTGAAGCTATGATGATATCATGAAACAAGAAAGAATATGGTCTGTTCTCCACGGGTAACTTTCTTTTCAACCCTCTTAAATCACTGTCTCTCGATAGAGTCATTATTTTCCGTTAAAATCGTTCATGCCCAACTCATAAAGCTCAGTCTTTGCAACACCAACACTTTCTTGGGTAATCGCTGTCTTGATCTTTACTCAAAATTCGGAACCATTAAAGACGCTTTCCAAGCGTTTGATGACATACGCCACAAAAATGTCTTCTCTTGGAATATATACATGCGAGTTCTCATTAGTCTCGACGACCTTAAAGGAGCACGCCAACTGTTCGATGAAATGCCTGAACGAGATGTCGTGAGCTGGAACTCCATCATTTCAGGGTACTCTTCTAGTGGGTTTCACGATTGTGCGCTTCAATTATTCTCACGAATGCAAACTTTTGGAGTAACACCAAGTGACTACACATATTCGATTGTGTTGTCATTCATACAATCTGTTCATCATGGGATGGAAATCCACTGTAACATGATAAGAAATGGAGTCGATTTCTCTTCTGTTATTATCTGGAACTCATTGATTGATATGTATTGTAATCATGGCGTTCTAGATTATGCTTTTGGTGTGTTTCTAAATATGGAGCAAATCGACATCATCTCCTGGAATACACTGATTGCAGGTTTCAGTAAATCGGGTTACAAAAAATTGGCTTATAAACACTTCAACATCATGAGAACAACCAATCATCTACCTGATGCATTTACAATATCTTCAATTATGACTTCATGTTCTAGTTCTTCTTCTACCATTGATCAAGATTTATCAACAGGGAAACAGTTATTCTCTTTATCCATAAAATTAGGGTTTCTTTCAAACACAATTCTTTCAAGTGCAGCTATCGACATGTTCTCAAAATGTAAAAATATAAACGATTCAATACGTGTTTTTGAAGAAATCAACAATTGGGATTCATGCGTTTGCAATTCAATGATTTCAAGCCTTGTGAATAATCGACTAGAGGAGAATGCAATTGACATTTTTGCCCTTTCTTTAAACAAAAACATAAGGCCTACAGAATTCACACTTAGTTGTTTGGTGAGTTGTTCTTCCCTCTTTCTGCCACCTGTCCTCGGGACACAGTTGCATTGTTTGGTTGTGAAATTAGGGTTTGAGGATGATTCTATTGTTTCAAGCTCACTTGTTGAAATGTATAGTAAATGTGGTTACATTGACTCTGCAAAAACCATCTTTGACCAAATGGGTGTCAAAGATTTAATATCTTGGAACACTATGATTCTAGGGTTTACTTATAATGGAAAAACAATCAAATCCCTTAAACTTTTTGATGAATTACTCAAAAGTGGGCCCACCCCAGATGAAGTAACCCTATATGGGACTCTATTAGCTTGCAATTATGGTTCTTTGATCAATGAAGGGTTGTTAATCTTTTATTCAATGGAGAACGAATATGGGGTTACACCAAAAGACACACATTTGACCATTATTGTTGACTTGATGATAAAATGTGGAAGACTTAATGAAGCACTTGAAATAGTTACAACAATGGGTAGTGGACTCAATGGTGTTATGTGTAAATCGATTCTTGATGTTTATGGGGTACATGGAGAGTTGGGATTTATAGAAAAGGTTGCTCAAATATTGATAGAATTTGAACCTATGTGTGTGTTACCTTATATTGTGTTGTGTAGAGCTTATGAAGTGAGGGGAAAATGGGAAAGTGTAGCTAGAGTGAAGAAAGAAATGAAAGATAGAAAGATTAAGAAAGTGGTGGGGTGTAGTTGGATTGGAGTGAAGAGAAATTTGTTTGATTTTAAAGAAAATGAAGTTGTTCATCATGGTGGGGAAGATTTGTACTTGATGTTGAGATTAATGATGTGGGATTTAGATGATTTTAATTGTATAAAAGTGGATGATGGAAGATTAAAGATTTAGAAATATAAAAGTGGTTGTAATTCTTCTTAAGTCATATTTTGCATCTTTATGCACTTGGTTTTTTTTATTTGTTTGTAGATTTAGATATATTACTATATTAGGGTCCTAATCACCGAATCTTGAAATTATATTGAGAACTAATGAAACACGATCACATATGATTAATAATATCTTTTATCCTTTTATGTTTTGTTTTTTTTATTAGATCTTTTTAGTTAGGTAATAAAAAATTCGGTCTTTGTGTCTTATATTTATGACGTTGTACCAAAATCTAAAATCTTTCTATTTGTTTGTTAGTTGTTTATATCGTGTTCATTCATCATTTACATATGACCTCAAGCCAACTTGATGCCAACTTCTAATATTAAATTAACAAATAGTTTTAGTTGCATGTCTTGAGTAAACAAGTATGTCATTCTCTTCATTATATCGTCACATAAGTGCTTTATTATTTTCTCTTTTCCTTTTTTATTTTATTTATCAAATCAATTTATATTTACTTTTCATCTTTTAAGAACACATGCAAAAATCTTAATCTTGATCTTAATGCACAATATATAAGAGGAAAAAATAAAAACCGAAATGAAACTAATAATTTAGCTTTGAAATGGTTAAATAATCATATTAACAAACACAAAAATCCATCATACCACAATAATCAATTAATCAAGAAAAAACATCATAAATGGTCCCTGTGGTTATTCAAAATATGAAGTTTAATCGTTTAAAAACCTCATAAACGGTCCTTGTGTTTTCAAAACTTTTGATGTTTGGTCTTTTTTACTAACTCCGTTAGTTTTCTATCGTTAAATGAAGGGTATTTCCATCATTTAACTATCAATGGACATTTTATGAGGTTTTTATTTTATTTTATTTTTTTAAAAGAAAAAAAAATAATTAAATTTGATATCCAATGGGTCTCTCTCTCTCTCTCTCTCTCTCTCTCTCTACCCCCATTAAAATGAGTTATGCATTGGTGAAGAAATCTAAGAACATCAATTTTGTATTATTCGTCAAACCCACTGATATCACGACAATCCATCGTCGTCGTAGAAATTCAAACAAAGAAGATGAGGTTGGTTTGGGATGGGGCAGAATACCATCACAATTTAACCCTTTGAACATAGATCCACTAAAGGAAGTGCAAACAGTAACATTGCATATCTGATGCACCACATGAAGCAAGGCCCATGATTTTTTTTTGACATTCATTAACAACCTAAGCAAGAACCCATAAAACCTTTCCAGAACCTTATCTCTACTTAAAGTTGAGTCATTAACCTATCTTCTATTTTCAATAAAACCCCCACTTTTTATAAAGTTCAATACCGAATTGAAGCCTTCATTTGAAGTTGATTTCTGAAAACTACCATGGGGTTTGGGTTTGTAATCAAAGCTTAGTTTTGGGTTCAATTTGCTGATCAATCACATTTGCATCTGTTGACGAACAAGAAAAAAAAAACACATACTAAACTTGAATAAGAAAATAAAACAAGAGCAAGTGAACAAGAAGAAAACATTTACAACCAAACACCACTCATCCGTTATACCTAGAGTTAAAGTCACTTAATTTGAAGAAATCAAGCCATCCATTTGCAAGCAATGGATCTTACCCAAATCTACAATCGGAATCCTTCCATTTTCTCTTGAATTTGATGTTGCAGATCTATCATTTCAGGGTTAGATTTGGTGTTGTAGATGTAGACAATGGACCTTGATTTGAGATTTGTGTGTAAGAATGATCACCGGTGGTAGTGGGTATGAAGGTGGTTGTCGGTGGTGGTAGATATGGTGTTCGTCGGAGCTGGTGTGTAAGAAGTCAATCACAAAATGTAGGCTATGCTGGTTGATTCAAGGTTTTTTAGTTTCCACATTCTTGCGGGGGAGAGAGAGAGAGAGAGAGAGAGAGAGAGAGAGAGAGAGAGAGAGAGAGAGAGAGAGAGAGAGATCTTTTATATATTTAATTATGTTTAATTTTTTTTTTTTAAATACGAGAAAACATCATAAATGATCCCTGTAGTGGTGAAATGACGAAAATACTCTTCAGTTAACGAACAAAGTTAACGGAGTTAGAAAAAAAAAACTAAACATCAAAAGTTTTGAAAACACGGGGACCATTTATGAGGTTTTTAAATCACATGGATTAAACTTTAGATTTTAAGTAACCACAAGGACTATTTATGATGTTTTTTCATTAATCAATTATAAAAACAGATACAAACAAACACCTTGTTGATTATTTGATTGACAATATAACTTTTAAAATGGTCACAACAATTTTAAAATACTTATCGAAACACCCTTTATATATATAACAACACTAGTCTCCTCTGAATCAACCATAACCATGAAGCACCACCATTTCCTTCTCGTATCTTTACCCATCCAAAGCCACATCAACCCCACTTTCCGACTAGCCACCAGACTCACACGCACCGGTGCTCAAGTCACTCTGGCCACCACCATCAGCGGCCTCAAAACCCTCCCTTCAATCTCCGGCATGTCTTACCACTTCTTCCCCGGCGGCGGTGCTGATGGAAAACTAACCTCCATACAAGAACTCAAATTCCCTGGGTCAATAAACCTCAAAGAACTCTTGCTAACAAAAGCTAAAGAGGGACAAAAGGTGGATTTATTAATCTATGGTCTTTCCCTTCCATGGGTGGCAGAGGTGGCGCGTGAACTCCACGTGCCGTCGGCATTATTCTTTTTCCAGTCGGCAGCTTCTTTTTCGGTGGTTTACCATTTCTTTAAAGGTGACGGTGGGGTAGGAAATTCCAATATTGACCTTACTGGTTCAATAAAATTACCAGGATTGCCATTGTTAAGATATAGTGAAATCCCTTCTTTTCTCATCCCCACCCATCGATATGCTTATGTTTTCCAAGAACATATAGACACCCTAGAAAAACACCCAAATTCGTTCATACTAATCAACAGTTTTGATGGGTTAGAAGAAGAATCGATTAAATCACTACCGGATCACATTAACATCTTCTCCGTCGGACCATTGAATTCCGGCGAAACGGAGGAGCCGTTCGTCATTGATACTATTCAGGATTCCGATCGAGAAAAATATCTTAGATGGCTAGACTCGAAACGGGAGAAATCAGTGGTTTACGTTTCCTTTGGAAGCTTGGTGAAGTTACAGAAAAATCAAAAATATGAGATATTTCAAGGATTAATCGAATTAGGTTACCCGTTTTTGTGGGTCATTCGCAATCAAGGAGAGGATGATGAAGAGTCGAGGCGTTACACGGCGGAAGGCGGTGGGTTGATAGTGAGATGGTGTTCGCAGGTGGAGGTTCTGAACCACGTTGCTGTTGGGTGTTTTGTGACGCATTCTGGGTGGAACTCGACGGTGGAGAGCATGGTAAGTGGGGTGCCGATGGTGGGGTATCCGCAGGATGCCGATCAGAAGATGAATGCAAAGATGGTGGAGGAAGTGTGGGGGAATGGGGTGAAGGCGGTGGCGGATGGTGAAGGTGTGGTGGGGAGGGAAGAGATGAAGAGGTGTTTGGCGGTGGTGATGGGAGGTGGAGAGATAACGAGGAACTGTGAGAAATTGAAAAGCATGGCTATGGAGGCCATGTCGGAGGATGGATCTTCACATAGAAATCTAAATCGATTTTTCCAAACCTTAAAACTTGTTTCAGAATGAAATTTTGATTAAGACATTTTTTGTTTTTGAAAACGAAATTTGTAACTTTTTATATATCAGTTTTTTGTTTCGGTTAATGTCATGTACTCATTTTCTAACGTTGAGTATGAAAACTTTAGATCATATTCCAGATTATCAGTTTAGCATTACTTTTATCATTTTCCTTTATTAGAAGTTTACAATATTTGCTAGCTGGATAAAGCCTATGATAAAAGGTTTTGAGTTAGTTTTTTTTGATCCGTTAACCTGTTTATCATACGGATCGCCTTCTAGTTTATAACTAATTTAGGGCCATTAGAAAAAATAAAATAAAACAATATATCAAATAAAAGTACAAATTAATAATTAAATATGTGATATTAAAAATTAATAAGTAAATATGTGATATTTAGACTTCTTTTCCATGAATCACAAACCTAATTCTAACCCACGTACCTACAAACATTTATAATTATACGAGTTACATGGTTGGTTTTTTTGTCAGTGAAGGGTTGTTAATCTTTTATTCAATGGATAACGCATACTTGTTATGCCAAAAAGCACCCATTTGACCACCATTATTGATTTGATGATACAATTAGCTAGAAAACTTAATGAAGCAATTAACATAATAACAACAATGGGCAGTGGACTCAATGGTTTTATGTGCAAGTCGATTCTTGATGTTTATGGGGTACATATAGAGTTGGGATTTATAGAGAAGTCGCTGAAATAATGGTGGAATTGGAACCTATGTGTGTTACCTTATATTGTGTTGTGTAAATCTTATGAGATGAGGGGAACATGGGAAAGTGTAGCTACAGTGAAGAAAGAAAAAGATATAAAGGCTAAGAAAGTGGTAGGGTGTAGTTGGATCGAGGTAAAGAGAGACTTGTTTGTTTTTAAAGAAAATGAAGTTGTTCATCATGGTCGGTAAGATATGTACTCGACATTGAGATTAGTGATGTGGGGTTTAGAAGATGAAGGTTATATATATATATATATATATATATATATATATATATATATATATATATATATATATATATATATATTAATTGTATAAAAGTGGATGATGGAATATAAAAGATGTTCGGATAGAAAAAAAAAGAGTGTGTTTATTGCTTATTACTTATATCTACCACAATAAACTAAGTTTAATTGTTTGGATAAAATCCTTAAAAATCAGATTATTGTATTAGAAATTAACTAAATAAACTAATTTTAATAATGATCTCCCCTCTTACTTATTGTTTATTACTTATTCTCAAATAACTTAATAAGCAATAAGTTAATAAGCTAATCCAAACAGCCCCTCAGATATATGAAAGTGGTACTAGTTCTTCAAGGTCTATGTATTGGATCTTCCTACTTTTGCACTTAACAAATTCGTTATATTGATTTTGCTATTCTTTCTACACTTGGTTTTTCTTTATATATATATATATATATATATATATATATATATATTATATATATATATATATATATATATATATATAAAAGAAATCTAACTATTTCTAAAAATAGATTAATTATAAAAATAATATTTTTTTAAGACGTCCAAATGATGAAGCTGATAGTACAAGTAACCAGTAATAAAATAATATTAAATTTTAACCATATTTTAAATTCAAATATTTATCATCAAATCTCTTTATATTTCTCAGCAATTTGATATGGTTCCCTCAAATCGCCGATTCATTCAAATTTTGAACCCTTTAAGATATCCTTAAATTTAGCATATTGATTCAAATATCTCTCCAATCGCATATACCTTTTTGTTCATTTCTCTGCTATAAAGCCCACAGTCCAGGAACAAAAAATGACCTCATCTCCCAAATAACACCATAGTTTGATTATTTTGTTTTCGACATGTACTTTCTTTTGTAACATAACATTTTCGTAGAGGAAACATATCATCGAAAGAATTTACACGCCCCGCCGCTTTGCGCGGGTACACTGCTAGTATATGTATGTATATATATATATATATATATATATATATATATATATATATATATATATATGTCCCTTGGTTTTTAGACTATTATTACTAAAAAAATTAAGATAACAAGTTATTTGAGAATAAAACTACTATCAGCCCCTCCAATGATTTTGGAAATAGGCAACAAAATTTTTAAGGCAATGTAATCAACAAAGATTAAGAGATTAAATACATGTTCATAATAAAATGTTATTTAAGATTAGATATATGTATTCACTAGGGGTGAGTAAAATCGAACCCGGTAACCGTAAAACCGACAAAAACGAAACCGAAGCATAAACCGACGGTTTGAGTTTAGAATTTTCAAAAACCGAAATTTTTGGTTTGGGTTCGGTTTTTAGGTTTGGTAAAACCGAAAGAAACCAAACGAATGTTGATATATTATATGTATTGTGTGAGTTATAATTGTATATATACGTAGTCCTGGGGCTACAAATAGAAAATGAAGGATGCTTTAGTGATTAACGACTTAGGTAATTGTAGGAGATGACGCAAGTTCGAAACCTGCTAACCTCATTTTTCTCGATTTATTTTGCCAGCGACTTAACTCTATCCCACATCGACCATTAATAAAACTGAGATTTTCTAATATGTACCATAAGAACACATATAAAAAACGTTATATAATAACAAATATTATCATAATTAAATAAAAAATGCATTAATTATAAGGAATGTTACCATAATTAAATGTGAAATGCATTAATAATCTCAATAATAAATGTATTTTGAATTTAATTAAGGTAATATATTTGATAATTAATACTTCTTATATATACCCTTAGAGCACATATTAGAAAATCCCAATAAAACTTAAACCAACATTCGCTTCTATATAAGATGGTCATCCAATTTCTTTCTATTATCTCGTGAGTCCCACATCGCTAGTGATATGTAAATATCAATTATCCTCACCATTATATAGTTGACGTGTTTAGGGAAATTAAGACATATGTTTGGGTTTTGGTTTCTATTATAAAACCGAAACTGAAGCATGGAACCGAAGTTTAAAACCGAAAACCGATAAACTGAATCCATTGGTTTTGGTTGAAATTTTTAGAAACCGATTAGAAAAATATAAAAGGGAGATTTTTTATTGTTAATTAAAGACTAAAATAGCAATGCAATAAACTAAATAAAATTCAGTATAAAAAACGAATTAAGTTCTGTTGCGAGTTTTCTAATCATGCAATCAACGCAAACCTGGTTATTAAAAACGTGTTTGATCTAAGCTGGTACTGAAAACTACTAATAAGCTCTGATAAGTTCTTTTTTACCTAGTTAATTAACCAAAACAAGCTCTTTAGTTAATCCTAACTTTTTACTTATTTAATTAAACAAACTCTTAATCAAACCAGAAAAGCAACATTATGATCTGTGTAAAAATTCCCAGCAATATTCAATACTTCTCACAAGCTCAGAAGCATAAAAATATAAAATTGTAGTTTATATGAGAATTAAATCTCAACAAAGAATCAATATGATAGTTGTTACTACCAGTTGATTAGAAAAATTACAGATTCCATTAACTAATTAACTATATTGATTTAATCCTAAATTAGGTGATCAAACTAAAGAGAACTAAAATCAAATATTCATTAAGATCACAACTTAAATTACTAGATAAAATCACAAATCAAAAACCATATATAATGATTGATTACATGAAAACTATTGATCTATGCAGAACTAAAATCTAGGGTTTAGCCAGACATGACTAAAATCTGATAAAAAACAATGATGACCCATTAGGTTGGAACATTACCTAGCGGAGAAGAACTTAAGCCACAAAGTGTATCAAATGGTTTTCTAGGTGATCATTCGGACACATCTGGAGTGATATTAGCTACACGGAGACCCCAAATCAAGCATCACATTTGAGTTGGGGGTATAAGCATGAAAATACCAATTGTACCACTCTCAAACAACAACACCTTGGGCAACGTAAGGGTATTGAATACGGAGAACCAGCAACAACGTTATGGGTAGGAGTCGCGCTCCACTTAAAACGTTGGGTTGTCAATTCATGCTAGTAGCGAAATGGGGATCTTCCAGGTGAGAATTAGCGATGTTTAGATCCATGATAGTGGTGACATAAATAAATAATTACTACGGTGAAATGTTAACAATCAATATATTCATAATATTAAACGGTGAATGGTGATTGGTAAGAAACATGTAGAGTGGGTACCTATGTGACTAAATGTCTTGTACGATATATGTATGTTTCCATACCTATGAACTTGAGATTAACTCATTGTGTTGATGTTGACACTTGTTTCTTTCCTAGTCGCTTTCGCCTTGCATTGGTACAGCCAACATGATTGATGGTTTGGTAAGCATGGGGACTTTTTGGGTGGCTTTATCTTATATGTTATATTAGCGATGATACCATCTTAGATATGTCTTGGGTTTTCTTTTAATTTGGGTTTTACAAACTTGTACTTTGATGTGTGTTTTTTTTAAAGATTTTTAAGTACCGTTGATGATGTTTTCAAATAAACTAAAACAAGACGTTCATTGCATTACCTTGTTAAATAATGTTTTAAAATTAAAAAAATAAGGTGAAAAATCACGTCGTTACATAACATTTAGGGTTTGTTGTTATTCTCAACCTTCTCCTCAAAAAAGAACATTAGCCCCCTTTGAGTGTTTTTGGGAGATCTTGAGCCTTTGAGTGGATTTTTAGTGAAGAAATTGAGATTTGGTGGCAATTGGTGCATTAAGGAACTCATTACAAACAATATTAAACCTTATACATTGCTTTTGGACCCTGTAGGTTAGAAAGTTCCTGCCTTTATGCTTTTCCTCCATGTATCAAGGATTATAGAAGAGTTTTGGTTCTTTAGACCTGATGTTCTTGGAGTTTGAGCAACTTCGGAACCTTAAATTAGATATGAGATGATTTCAGGTCATTTGAGAGAATGAAATAGTGTGTACATGTGCTTTCTTGGAGCCTTGCACAAAATCTTGACCATTTTGTGTCAAATATGAGTAGCGTTTGAAATTGGGT